CGCACTGTGTCATCCCCCCAGAGTTTCTCCAGAGCCCTGCAACCCAAGTTCTCAACGACAAAGAACGGCGTAAAATAGTAGATGACTCCCAATGGAATCCCGAGCACGACAACAAAAAAAAGAACACAAACGGACGCTCTCTTAATCGTCATGGGTGGGGGAGTTTCTTCATGCAAACGGTGCTGCATTTCCCTTCCTGAAAATTTATTGATTACTACTTTTTTATTCGCGGCATCGTCCGCTAATAGAGGACGTCTGTCACGCATATACATCAGAGAGACTACACGGCTTATACACCTCTGGCGCTATCCTAACTGCCCAATGCAGCAAGCAAAACACGTGTTAAAACCAACAATCAAAAAAATGGCAGACAAAATCCCATTCAGAAAAAAAAAAATGCGGCGGCAAACCCATACAGAAATAAAAGAAATAGTAAAAGCATCCGAGAATGTCCCACGCAGAATACGCCCTTCTGAGTGGCCTCCACATCTGCCAAATTTATTCGCTTCTCAACGAATGCGGAGCGCAATGTTTTGCTCTCAGCATCTCTTGCAAGCGTGTTAAAGCATCGTTCAAAAAAGAAGTCGGGGTTGCGTTAAAAAGCCGTCGCATCCGGAAGTATATTGGAGAGACGTTCTGGCGAATGAGAAAAGAAATAGGAATAAAGAAATTACACGTGGGAAAATCCGTAGTGACTTCGTTGGCTGGAAAAAATTCCCTCGCCATAGAGGAGATCATACCTTGGCGTCTCTTCATGGCACTTGGGTGCTCATCATTCCTCGTCGCCAGAATGGAGAACCATCTCACGCCTTCAATTGCACTTCAGTTGTATTGGGTGGTAGCACCGCCATCGTCGCTGCCAAATAAGAGGCACACCGTTCTTCTGCTTACACACAGGCTGACGCAGAATTCTGGTGTATTTTACCATCAATGTCAAGAAAGAGAGAGACGCAGCAACTCCAGAGGCACGTGTATCAGTTTCATTAAGCTCCGGCCAAAAAAACATGGGGGTAAACCCCATCTTTAGATTTCGGTGACAAGGAAGGAAAGAAGAAAAAACGGCATAAAAAACAGATGCAGCGGTGAAAAATACTCTCAAACCCCAATTCAATAAGAATACACGTATACTTATATATGTATAAGTGTATATGTATGGTCGCAGGTGAAAAAATAAATTGAGTAAAAACAGAAAGAAAGGGGATGTGCATCTAGACACACTGCCGCTGCGCCAGAGCATCCACCAACCGCACGCAAGTTTCCCACAGGTTCGCTTTTCACGTGGTGGGTTTCAAAAAGCTGAAGGACTGAGCAAGACCGCCCCCCGCGGCCATCGCACGCATCGTTGCGAAGACACCGCCTCCCTACCCCCCTGGATTTTGCCACTCGAAGGGTGTCGCTCTCTCCTTGATGCAGGCAGTGGAGGCGACAAGTGCGTCACCGAACCCTCCCCGGTAGAGTTGCTGCGCGCCCCGTCGTCCAAATTGTCTCGGGACGAAAAGGACTGCACATCCTCATGCTGCCGCCCCCGCGTCTCGGGTAGAGGCCCTGCAACAGCGGCAACAGAAGGCGAAGAAGGGGGAAAAAAGGAAGCTACATCACAAGCGCTGCCGTTATGGGGAGTACCAGGACGGGTATCCTCCCGTCTCTTTTGTTTTTTGTCATTCTGCCCTTCCAAAACAAATGGCAAATCCCGCCGGGGAGAAAGCGGCACAGTCTTTTCTGGAGCAAACTGACGCCGAGTATTGTTGTTGACCCTCACAGTACGTCGGTTTCCCGTTGCGGTTGTTCCTGTTGGTGTGGGCGGCGTTGTGGCCCCCGTTTCGCCATGATATGCCTTCGCCTCCTTGTTGAGGTAATTAGAAAAGGAGGGCGCGTCTGCGTCATTGGATCCCAACGGTTTCTGAAATGTGTGTGAAGAGGTAAGATGATCAATCAACTCCCTCTCGGCTGACTTCAGGCGTGCCTCAAACTTCTGAAATGTTCGTCGGTGAGCCTCAATCTCAGCCTCCAATCGCCGCGCCAGCGTCTCTCGGCATCTCTCGTTACTCCGTACCATTTCTTGCAGATCCCGATGAAAGCCCTTCAAAAGCTCCTCTACGCTCGTCGGGTTCCCCGTTCGTGAGGAGCACGAGGAAGTGACATTGGACATAGCATCACCAAGAAGAGTCCGAACGCCTGTTAAGGCCTGATGACATGCTCGCAGTACGTCACACGCCTCCAGCAAATCGCCCCTACGTGAAGAAAAGTTCGCTGCGGCCTCGGTTTGGTGTACAGAGCTTGAGGGAAATTCAATGGAACAGTCAACTTCCTCCCGCCAACGCCGTTCTGAATGGTTGCTGCTTCTTTTGCGAAAAGAAGTACGCGGTGGAACATCCGGGGTGACCTCCGCCAGCGAACGCAGCCCAACAATGCCAGAGTTTTGAGCCTCCCTCCATAACGTCAGTTCTTGGAGAGAGCCCGCGTGAAGGAAATCGCAGTGGTAGCCGTACACCCACCGTGCCGCCTTTTCGATCGCCTTCTGTATGTCTAAGATAAGATCGATGGTCTGCCCCAAAAGCATAATACGCTCGGTCTGCTCCAGTTTCAACTGGGAATGGGAACTTTGCATATTTTCAGCCACCCTCATGATTAATGCACTCAACATGCCTGGATGAATCTCTTTTTCCGTCTGAGCCGCATATTCATCGCCGCCAGAGGATCCTTTTTGCCTCGCCAGAAGCGTAACAAGGGCATCGTGCAGAAACCGGCGCTCCTCCTCCTGTGTTCGAAGGAGAAAGTGAATCTCTGCGCACTCTGACAACTGCCTGTCCCGCACAATTGCCACCAGTCGAGTCGCCAACAGCTCACACCGCCGCTCGAGGCGTTCGACGTGCCATGCGTCGCCACCACCCTCATGACGACCACCACAACTCCCTCCCTCTGCACTTCCACGGCCTCCCTTCGACTCGCGCTGAAGCTGCTGAAGCACACGCTCCATATCCTCATGAGCCCTCCGCAGTTGACGACGCAATGCATCGTTTTCAAGCTGCAAAGCGTGAAGAAACGATCCATTCGTCGGGGCCAACGCGGCCATCTGACAGCACCCGTGCCACACACACAAACACACACACACTGAAAGAGAGAAAAAGTAAGCAGGCCCACACTCGAGATTTTTTTCTTTGGGTTTGCCTCTCTCTATCTCTTTTCCCTCTTCCTTGTATGTATCCTCCCTCTATATGTCCTGAACCAAAAAAAGGGGGGAGGGAGCAAGTTGGTGCGGGAGAAAATATCCGCTACTGTGGGAAATATCAGTGAAACACCACATTTCGCGCAACATCTTTTTTTTTCTGTACCAAACCATTGTTTGAACGACTCCAAGGAAATCACTAGCAAATCTCAAAACGCTGTAAGTAAAGCCAAAAAACTATTACTTCATGTGATTTCAAGAGAATTTTTACGGCATTAGGGTTCCTTCACACTCTGTAGCTTTGAGCGCCATTCTTTCTCCAAACGCATCGAAGCCTCAATCCATGGATCGCCATTGAAATCTTCCTGATTTGGCTGGAAGCCGAGACGGTTGTAGAAATTCCTCATGTTCTCGTTGGCCAGCTCATTCGCACCATCAGCGCCTCTAATCGCGGCGTAAACCGCCCTGCAATCCAACAGGGCATATCTGCCGCGTCGCTTACCTCCAGAGAGGATAGCCAGGGGTGACTTTGCATCACCTACCAATGCAGCTCGTAACAAAATACCAGCATAAAGGGTTTTCTTGTCCATACTCCATATCTCATGCATGATCACCATACGCCCGGCGGGTGGTAAATTTCTTGCCACCCCACTCTCGTCTTTCCCCGAGATTGGTTTATCTGATGAAGAGCCTGCGTCTTCAAAGCGCAGCACCTCTGTTGTTACCAGATAACGACGGCACGGCAAAATTTCTCTCACATATTGCACGTTCACAGAGGCAACTACAAAGCTTGCCCTTAGTTCCCACAGTATTTTCACCATACCGATGTAGCCTCCGTAATGCCAACGGGCCAGTTCACATATCTCAAGATATTTAGAGTTATTAACGTGGCCAAAGATATCAGCCATTCGTATTCCGGCGTAGACGCAAGTATAGTGCTTCTTCATTGGCTCAATAACAGCCTGTGGGTTGGTACCAAGCATCCGACGACGCTGGTATGCACCATAGATAAAGTAGGCTGCCGTGCGAAGCAGTGTCAAAAAAACCATGGCTCCTAAAATGACAAACTATGCAAAGGAGGTGAAATAAAAATAAAAGTAAAAAAATCAATGCATTCTATAGATATTTATCATGGGATTATAGACAACGCACTTCCCTCACACAAAGTTTTCCCAGTCCCTCCAATTTTTCCATCTCCACGTTGCTTGTGGTTGTATTTGCCTTATTTCCTTGTGTGTGTGTGTGTGTGTGTGTGTGTGTCCTGCATCAGGGTGATGTGGGAAATGCACTGCCATCTCTGTAACGTTCAGTCCACATGGCACTCAATTCATCATAATCACGAGCCTCCCGTCGCTGCGCCGGTGCGTCTCTGTCCCCAAACATCACCCGACCAAGCCAAGGCTTGTTCTCGGGAAGAAGAGCATTATTGATACCCTTCACTACAAAGTCCATCGCCTGTTCCGAAACCCCTCCCTTCTCCTCACACTCCTCGCGAAAACGCTGAGCCCACCCCTCTTCCTCAAGTCGCTGCAATGAGTACAACATGGCGTAATAAGCCTCCATGTTCATTGCCACATGACATCGACGCATGGCGTAGAAAACAGCCAGCGCCTCGCTAAAGGAGTCAGTACGAGCAAAAAGATGCTGGATGGTGCGCACCGAAATTTCCCTGCCGTTTCGCCCAGCGAGATTCATGAGACGCTCCAGGTCATCCGTACCTTTTGAGGAATCTTTGCCCAACGGGACACAAAGAAGCAGCAGACGGTCAAACGCATCACCCAATCCACGGCTCACATCATTCTCACGCGGGGTCGAGGGATCAAGCTTGTACTTTTCAATGAGTGAAGCAACAGACCGCACGCGATTCTCCAGATCCAGCATCTTTTCTGTAGACATCCACAAGTCGTGAATTTCTCTGCGAGCCTCGGACGCCCGCTCCATCGCTGAAATTTCATTGGCTTCCGAAGGAGTTGACGAAGATGCAGAGGATTTCGCCCCTGTGTGAGATTCGTTATCGGCCATCGTGGTGTTCCAGCGGATTCCGCGGTGGCGCAACGCTGCCTGTGCAAAGGTAGCAACCGGAAAACAGAATCGACGCATAGTAAAAATAAGCCCTGCTCCTTTTCGTCGTTCTGTTCGTCAAAGCGTGGCTCCCTTCTCTGCTAATTAATGAGATCCACAAAGTAATGAAGAGCTGAGACAAAAGTAAATCAGTGACAATTCCGAAGAGACAATGAAAAAGATAAAAATAATGACCCAATAACGGCGTAAGAAAGCGGTAAATAGAAAAAAACAAAAAAGATAAAAACAATTCGAGTCGCTGCTATTCGACAATAATAAAGAGTCGATAAAACCCAAAAAAAAAAAAAAGGAGGGAACAGGAGAAAAGAAAGCGGAATGGAAAGGCATCGAGTTGCGGTCGCTCAACCACCTTTCTTTACTTCTTTCGTGCTTACCCTCTCGCCCACCCTTCCATTTGAGTTCTAAACAATCTTTCAAAGGTCAACACCGCGCATTCCCGTGTCCCGGCGCCTCACCCTTCCTCTCCTCCTGTTGTCGCCCCTGTTGTAATATTACCCAGCCCCACCTCACCCTCCTTACAAAATGCGTTACATTCTTTTTTGTGTCTGTTTGTGTTTCGCTGTTGTTGTTTTGTTTGTTTGTTTGTTTGTTTTTGCTTTTTAATTGCTTCGTTCTCTTTCTGTTAATTTTTTTTTGCAATCTCACTTTCGTCTTTTATTATTGCTTTTTATTCCTTTTTTATTCCTCCTTGCTTTCTTTTCACGGTTAATATCCTCTCCCCACTCCCTCTTTTTTTCCTCCCCGTCCTCTTCCTCCGCTCTTCATCCCGCATGCAGCCAGAAGGTAGCCAGCACGTCAGAGTACCAAATCAACAAAAAAAAAGAACAGGGGCAAGGCGGTTCACCTCATTCAGCCCCACTCTGGTGTGAGAACAAATAATTTATCTGAGAAGAAGTCATCAAATATCTTTTACGCATCCCCGGCCGCATACACGGATAAATATTAGAACTGCATGGGTGGTGGATTGGCACCTAACCACGGAATGAGCGGGAGCAGTCGTTCCAGCACCGTGTATACGGTAGGGAGAAGCATAACACGTATGGGGAATGCCACCGTATAAAGGCCATAGAGCGCCAGACCAGTTGTAACCGTTCTCTCCCAAAAGACCTTCGAACCTGTGGAGCGACCCATCATTTTCTTTGAGCGTTGAAGGCCGGAGTTTGTTGCGGCAATTTTGCCATTGATATTTTTCAGCCTTTCCAAGGAAGCACTTACCTGAACGGTGTCTTTCTCGTTCCCATCCTCACCTTCAGAATAGACACTTTTCTCTTTTGCCTTTGCTAGCGTTAGGGGCGACGCGACTACCTTTTTCTCAGAACCACCTTCCTCTTCCTGCCGCAGCTTCTCCAGCATTAGAAATACCTGTGGGGCTCGACGGGCAACATCCGGCTGAGCTGACGCCGCCTTCTCCAAAAACTCCTTCGCCATCTTGTATGACTTGCCAAACCCATGTTCACCCTTAAGGTACATACAACCCTTCACAAAGTAAGCCGAACCACAGCCACGATCAATGGCCTGCTCAATCCATGCGTGGTACTTTTCGATGCTTTTTAGACCTTCCATTTGTTCTGTAGACAACATAGTGGACGAAGTACAACCACGAAGGAAGAGCTGTGCAAGAGCCAACATTGCATGTACACTTCCAGCCTTTGCAGCACGCTGATAAAAGTACAGGGCAGCCGGGAACATGGGAAGAAAATGACGGGCTCCAGTATCAAACTGTTCACCAACCTTTAGATTGGCGGCGGTACTGAAATCATCATCGTTCAAGGCACGCTTAAGTAGTAAAAAAGGTCCTCGTGGAGATTGAAGCTGAGTGTATATGCTATGCAAAAGAAGAATACTCTGTTCGTGATTATGGTGAATAGCTGCTAGACGAAGAAAGTGCAGGGCCATCTGGATCTCTTGTTGCTCAAAATGCTTCAAACCTGTTGCCATGAGCTCGTGGGCTGTCATGGCGCTCTCAGTCTCGGAAGCATATTCTTCTTTTTCTTCATCCTCCATTGCGCCCACGTTAATGCGGGCCTTGCAAATATCCAGCTGTGTAATCTCAATGAAATTTGCAAGAGTCGCCGGTTGTGCACGCTTTTCGCGAATAATATTATGCAGGCGTAACATTTCCTCCAAAATGTCCCTTTGACTTTGTGCCCGCTTCGCCACCTCACCTTCAGCGCCGGCCTCCAATGTATTCGTCACCTCAATAAGCTTCTTCTGAATTTCCTCCTCCTCGGATTTGTAGTTCTCCATCTCTGCATTGATAAATTCCTTGTCGTTTGTATTTGACGTTGATCGTGTCACCTCCTCCGCTGCCTCCTCCAGCAATTTATCGAGGTTCTCGTCATTAATCTCAATCGCCGCACCCTGTTCCTCCTCTTTTTTCATTTTCCTTTTTTCCTTCTCTTCAAGGTTCATTGGAATGGGGGGGTGATGTTCGCGAAAGAGGGCGTCAAGTTTTTCGCCCCAAATGAACAACTTGTCATCTTCAGTGGAACGCATCGGCAGGTCCAACAGACACGGCCATACCGTAGGGTTCTTCTTTATCAAATCCACGATAAGCAGCATGCCCTCATCCTCCACCCGCCATTCCACCTCAGTGGCCACTGGCTCATAGAGGCGCCACCGCATAATCGAGGTATCACGATGTCGCACGCAGAGGACAGCGAGGTCTTTCACCTCCACCGTGAGGTCACGCGGTCGCACAGATGGCGGCAAGACAATTGGTATGCGGATCTCCAATGCCTCCTCGCCCTCGTCGCCCTGAGACCAACGGGCCTTTCCAACGCTGCAGTCACTAGTCATTAGACAAAATGTGATTCCTCCCTGGAGAGCGAATTAAAAAGGAAAAGGTGCCGGGAAACACAACGCAAAGAAGCCCAATATAGACACAAACACAAACACACACACACGCACACATGCAAAAAAAAAAAAAAATTTGCTCCCTAACAGTTTGCTCATTGTGCCTAGGCGGGAAAAAACTGTGTGGAAATACAGGCGTAAGCAACAGTTCCTCAAACTCATTTGAATTCACTTCAATGGCTTGGCAACCACCATCACCTGTCTGTAAAACCATGACTCATTCATTACACGCAAAGAAACAACCCTCAACTCTGAGTGTTTGAGCACCGATAGAAATTCCTCTTCACATGTGGTCCCACCAAAATCAATGGTCGTCAAGAACCTCAACAATCGTTTTACCAAGGGTAGCACATATAAATTCACAGTTGGCTTCTCCAAGGTCTGCGTAAAAAGCAGCACGCAACCACCATCATCTCCGTTTTCAACACATGGGGAACCGTTAATTGTGGAACCCCGCAACATGCGGCAACAGTTTTTTAACACGTCCAATCTCTTGGGCATGGTCAAGAAACTATCAGAAAAGTAGATAACGTCAAAGCGAGAGGTGGTGTCATCTAGGATACTGGAATGCACGATATTTACCTGCTTTTCCAACCCGTACTTAATGATGTTATCTTGTGCAGCACGCACATAACCTGCGTCGTAGTCAACCCCCGTTAAAATGAGTTTTTTACTTCGAACGACATCACGATTTGCGATAAGACTTGAGGCCGTGCGGACACAAACATCAAGTACAGAGGCATCCATAGGGCACTGCAGAAGCACCTCGCGATACCACATGCTTCTCATGGGTGCAATCATCCAATCGTAGAGAAGAAACCGAAGACTACTGTAATCACGCAAGCAAAGCAAAAACATCTATATTTTTCCTTCTTCCTTGCTGTTTTTTTTTTCTTTTTTTTTTTTTTTCCCTTTTGGCAAGAGTAAATATATATGCATATATGTATACGGGTATTAGATTTCAATAAGCAAAAAATACAATACGCATTCCCTTTTGTTCGTTGTGATGATAAAACCCTCCAATCCAAATAGCAAAAATTAACGCCTTTTCTCCAACCCCGTCACCTTTTTTAAGCACACCAATAAAACCGTTACTTATCACCGGTTTTTCTTAAGTTTTTCCAAATCGACATCGACTCCAGTTTTCTTTTGGATTTTTCAGCCAAAAGCAACTTCTGGAATATCTTAAGGAGCAAACGGGTAGCAGAAGAATTTCTAATCTCTTCCTCGGTCTTAACAAAAATACGCGAGGGAGACACAGCAAGTCCCTTCACTAGAGAAGCACACACGGCCTCTTCATTTATGTAGCTATCAGTTTCTTTCAACTTTATGCCCACGTCATCTGTTCCAGGATATGGTTTTGGGCTCTTCCATAACGCGTAATAAATGAGCACTTCCATGTCTATATGAGAAAATATATGCCGAACAGAGCCCAAATATCTCACGGCACCATTTTCAGCATCTAGTTTTTTAAGTGAATTTAGAACTGCTTTCTCCTCTATGGGGATAGTGTCATAGGATGAACCATATGTTGTGGACGGAAACTCCAACATGCCACCCAATAACCCTCCTTCAGGCCTTTGAATCACAACAAAACGCTTCTCCATCAAACCTTCATTTACGCAGCCATAACGAAATTCATGTATCACAGAAATAACTATTTCCTTTTTCTTTTTTGCTGCAATGGACCTTAATGGAATGACGCCCTCAATGGCTTCGATGTCACCACGTGCTTTTGCAGCATACGACTTGCAGAAGCGCTGAAGTGGACACTCTTCACAGAGAGGCCTTCCAGAAGGTTTACACACACTTGAACCAATTTTCATCAAACCCTCATTAAAAGCTCCAGGGTTTTCACAAGGCCCCTCATCCATCAATTCTTGAGCCCACTGTTTCACTGCCTTAATGGTCTTTGCAGCTTTGGGGTCAACCTCTCGCTCACAGCGCAGTCGAGTTATCACTCGCACAACGTTTCCATCCACAGAAGCAACTTTTTCACCAAAACAGATAGATGAAATAGCCGCAGCAGTGTATGGACCAATACCGGGTATTTGCTGCAATTCAACCGCCGTGACGGGCAACTTTCCATTGAAATGCTTCATAACATATTCGGCACCCTTTTTCAAATACAAAGCGCGACGATAATAACCCAGCCCAGACCAAGCTGTCTTTACAGACTCCTCAGAGGCCTCGGCTAAAACAGCCACCGTGGGAAAAATTGATACCCACCTTTGAAAGTAAGAAATAACTGTGCCCATTTGCGTCTGCTGCGACATAACTTCGCAAACCCAGACATGGTAAGGATTGCGCATGCAATCATTAGCTCCTATGGTTGTTCCCAATACATCGGTGGAGGAAAAAGACTGTCGCCAAGGCAAATCCCGTTTTTCATTTATGTGAAACCACTCTATTGTAGCCTTCTGTACGGCCCGGTAAAGCTCATTCATCTCCAATAGCTATCTCCCCAACTCAACCTTCATTCTAGCAGCAAAAAAAAGATGGACAATAAAAGTCAGATCTCCCAAAGCCATCCCCATTATTCATCTTACATCGTCTTGCACCCATAGCGTTGCCAAACAAGATAAGAAAAAAAACTTATAATGTAAATACAATATTTTTTTGTTTCTTTTTCTGCAGTAAACTGCAGAACAGCAGGGGATGTGGGGGAAACGCATTCTCAGAAAGCCTCTGAGCTATGGTATCCAAGGTTTGGATTGACCTTTCGCTTTTTTTGCGTTTCCTCTTCACCAGCCCGTAGAGGGGAAAAAAAGAAAGGTGGGTCTGTATCTCCTAAATTGGTTGATGAATTCATCCTCTCTAAGAGCTTTCCTCGGGAATATCCAACTCCAATTCTGTTTGAATGCAATGACCATTCCGTTTGGATTAAAAATTTGTCATTTCATTTTATCATCGCGCCCTATTATATATATTTAAAAAAAAAAAAAAAAAAAGAAACATTGAGCACAGAGAATTAAAAAGAATTTCAGTCCATAGAGCAAAAAGGAAGGAAAAAAAGAGGTTATTCTCAATGGGGTAAAGGAGACATTTTTGACAATGGCCCGGCTTACACATACATTTCCGCCAAAATATCCTTCCTCTCTCAATACATTCGTGCACGACAACTCTAGGGAATGGAAATAAAGAAGAAAAAAAAAATGGGTCAAAAATAAAAAGGTGAATATACCCCACCACAAGTACAGCCTTCATGCTCCCAAATCCCCAGATATGGCATCATCATCACCATCATCATCATCATCATCATCAGCAGGACCAACACAATCATCATAAATAAATATCCCAGGGAGAAAGAGAAGATTTTGCAGAAAATCTAATTTTCTACGAAGACTTGAATAAGAGTACTCCCATTTGCCCCATGTAAAAGTAAATGTAGTGATTCGTCTCGTGGGTAACATAGCTGCCAAAATTGCGTCCAACAAAACAATTCCATGTGGGGCCGTACTTCTTATCAAACTCATTTTTGATGTATGATGCAACATCTTTTTTCGGTGTAAAGCTTTGAGAATCCATCCTGTGCGCAGTGAATTGCATAGTTCTCCATGTCTTTTGGCATCTCTACGAGCTTAACCGTGGCGGAGGAGAGCTGCGTCATGATTGACTTTTAAAATGCCAAGAATACTATTGGCTTGATTTATCTTGCCCGTCATAAACAAAAATAAAAAAAAGGGGGTGTTTTTTTTTGGAATAAAAAGAATTCTTTTGTTTACACATTTTTCAATGGAAAAAAAACAAAGCAACTTATGTAAAAAAGACTTCCCGCACTGCAAAAAAAAAAAAAAAAGTAATTTCAACGAATCAAAAAGGCTTTTTAATTCAATTGTATGTGATATAAATATCGCACCTGTCCAATACCATCAGCTTTCCACCTCTCATACTTCGTCACTCGGATAGGTAAAATGCCCACCCAAGTCCTTATTTCTTTCCTTTTCCTTCTTACTTCGTATTCCCTTCCATTTACAGTAGCAGCCACTGCCGACACCACATTTAACACAATGGGAAGAGGACGTGTAAAAAAAGAAAAGAGCCAAATAAATACCTTGCCCCAATCCGCTCTACAGTGTGTTGTGCGTTTCCACCAGTACTCCAACTATCCAAACCCGCTTTCATATAAACCTTGTTCTCACTTTTTCTTTCCCTTTTAAAAACTAAGTTCACAGCTGATTCCTTAATTTTTATTCCCTCAATCTTCCCTCCCTGAAAACAGGCTCAAGATTTATCCGAGTGAAAGTAAACACAAAAACTGGTTATGGCTAGGGAAAAAAAAAGCACAAAGAAAGTCACTCAAACAACGCAGAAACTCTCAACAAGAAAAAAGGGTCAGCAAATGTATGAAAAGGTTCCCCCGTTGGAATTATCTCTGATTACGAAACCACGGCTTATAAGGAACTCTAACGCAACCTTTACCTGTTGAACGGAAGGCATAAATTTTTGAGGAGACTCATCTTTGACCTTCTCCATAAGCTCATAAAAAGAAAGAGTACCACTGGCCTTAAACACACGAACGAGTGTCGCCTGAACCGCGGGAGCTTTCAACTGATCTACCATGTGGTGAGAGGCATCTACAGGATCACTAACAAAATCATTAGAAGATACTGTCGCAATCTGAAAACCCCCTTCCCAATCACAAGGAAAAAGATTCAACTTCCTTTTTCTTGTATCTGGATTTGAACCAAGACGAACATATTTTCCTGCCATTACCGATCGCAGAGGAAGATCAACTGGTCCACCCTCATCATAAACCTCGAGGATGCCGCAACCCGCAAAAGCATTCAAAGAACGTAAAAAAATTTCATTGTTCGTTACCTCCATTGTCTGTAATAAGTTTCCGATTGACCAATCTGTCCGATTATTAAAGCATTCAGCAAGTAATAGTTGTGACTGTCCCACACACAAATCTATACTCGGTACACGAGAATCCCTAGGCAAATTCATTCTTACCACGCCACGAGAACATCGCGAAACAAAAGAGATATGACGCTTTGGACGAACTTGCGAATAAAACAACTGAAACTCACGCATCTTGGGTAATAAAATGCTTGGCGTTGGAAGATTTACGTCACAAGAAGCATCTGGCCATGAATAGCTTGTGAGAACACTAGGTTGAAACAACCATTCTGAAGATTTATTATGGCTACTCCCGTATTTTGCGTCAAACATATCACGTAGTGAGACACTATTTTCTGTGACATCCATCAACATCACCTCGCATCTGTATACAAAATCAGAGGTACATTCAGTCGCTTGTGATATTGTCCGAATAGCAAAACGTTCTTGTTCCTCAGAATAAGGTTCAAACAAAAGCCTAACGGACAAAAACTTCGGATATGATTCCAGAAAAGAACTCTTTGACGGTAAAAGCTGAAACACGGTCACAATTTCCCTCAAAATACCTTCGCATTGCTCCTTCGATTCGTTAGATTTTAATTTCGTGTGTGCAAAACGAGCCAATTCTTCTCCCAAAATATGATAACTCTTTACGTAAGCAAGAGTTGTCAAAATTTTCTCAAGTCCAGAAAGCATCGCCTTTTCAAGAACTTCATTACCCTCAAACGATTCACTTACTCTTAAAAAATAGGTATGCACTGATATGATCCCCTCAAGAACAGCCTTGTAGACATTTTCATTAGCTCTAATGCTTGCCTCGCAAATTCGACTGATATCCTCCACTCCTTTTTCAAAAACACATTTCTCAAATATTTCTTTAAGCACCAACAAACCTGTAGAGTTTTTTGACAGTAATTGATACATCTTGTTCAAAAAATAACCACGGTCATTGAGTATCCCAGGT